TATCTATTTAATTATATAATTAATATTAACATAATACATATATATATATTGAATATATTTATAGTTAAGAGATAATATATATGTTTTGTTGTTATCCAAAATAATATTTTTAGTTATAATAGTTTAAAAGGTTAAGAAGTAGAAAAAGATACGTAATTAAATACCCATGAATTAAAAATTAGATTTTATATAAAAAGGAAGTATAGTGATTTCAGATATTTTCTTATTAGATTAGATAATTATAATCTATTATTAGATTACATAGTTATTTACTAGATTATATTTTGGTAAAATATCTCATATGTAAATAATATAATGTTCAATTTACTTTTTTTGAAATTATAAAAAAAAATAATACTGGTATTTAAATATATAATGTATGCAATAATAAATATTTGTAAGATGTTTATATTCGTATAAGCCGGCAACACACCTAGTTTTAGATTTTTTCATTCTAAAAGTAAAATCTCTTCAGTAGTTTACTCTATATTTTATTCTGAAAAATATTGATAATATTTTCTTTTACTTTATAAGTATTATTTATTAAATTTACAATTTGATTTTATGTATTTATTTTCACACTTTTGATAAATTATGATATTTATATTAAACATCTATTATATTAAAAATTACATTACATATACAAAACATAATAGATTTTTACTTAAATATCACAAATGTTCAATTAGTACATTTGAAGGGTTTGGGATATTTGATTATAAGACTTTGAGTTAAAATTTCAATTTAAAATATAATAAAATAGAATTATCCCAAATAAAATAAATCATATTATCTTTTATTTTATTTCAAGTGGAATGTAGAATATAATTAAAAAGATTACTATAACTTCCTTTTTGTTTCAAAATGATCCATGTTTTAGTAAAAAAAAAGAGAGTTAAAAATAGATTTTTATATTGAAGTTCTATTGAGTAAAAATTTTGTGAGGAATGGTTAATTGAAAAAAATTAGCATTAGTGATTAAAATTATATGCTTAACTAGGTGATTTTCCCGTGCTCATGCACGGGCATGTATATTTATAAAATAAATATACAATAATAACTGATTGATATTTACTTTAATTTTTAAATTAATTTATAGTTTGTATGTCTAGTTTATATTATAATATTATATTACTTTAATTATATATATATAATTTTAGATATGTTATATTTAGTCTATTTTATTGTTTTTACAGTCGATTTAGTTATCATTTAGATATATTGGATTCTATCTATTTCTCTGAATTCAAATATAATTTTTTATATTTTAAATATATTAAATTTTTAATTAATTGTCTTATTTGTATTTATGTTGGTTGTTATCTTAGAAATATAAGTATATTTAGTAAAGATTATATATAACTTAAGATTTGTTTGTGCTTAGAAGGAAAAATAAATAAAAACTAGAGTGTCTGGTTCTAAATTACATACATAAGTAACTAATGAGTTTTTTGAAGCTTTTGAACACATATCAATATTTACAATAATTAAAATATTTTATAAATTCTAAACAAATTTATTCTTTAGATTGATTGGATGGTAAACTGAAATTTATTTTAAATAATTTTAAAAATAAGGATTCTGATTTTCTTAAGTATTTTTACTATGGTTATATTAAGTTTCACAAACATAAAAACAGAAAATTAAAAATCAAAAGATTTATTAAGAAAAAAGATAATTTTAACTATTAAAATATAATATATCTACCTCGTTAAATTGTATAATGTTATGGTATTTTAAAATAATTGTACTTATTTTATGTTTTTATGTTTGTGAAACTTAATATAACCATAATTAAAATACTTAAGTAAATCAGAATCCTTATTCTTAAAACATATAATTTTAACTATTAAAATATAATATATCTACCTCGTTAAATTATATAGTGTTGTGATATTTTAAAATAATTGTAGTTACTTGATCAAAAGATGTTTATTATTAAATTTATTTTTAGTTTTATTTTTATTTTTATTTTTAGTATCTCTTAAAATAGTCAGTAAAAAGTGATTTTTTTGAGAAATATACTATATAAGTAAAATAGAATTTATATATTTACTGTAATTGTAAGATATTGTAGTCAAATAAATATACTAAAAAAATAATTTCAATAATACTAATTATAAAAAATGTCAATTAAACATATATCAGTTTATGTTAGTTGATTATTTTATGTAATCATCTAATAAAATAGATAGATATATACAAAAATAATTATTTTGAAAATATATATATAAAGAAAAAATATTTCTTTTTCTAATAGAAATATTTTTTGTGTGAATGTTTTTTATGAAATCACATTATATACAGACATTGTTTTTTTTATCTAAGAAGATATAGATATAAAGTATTTTATTACTTCAAAGGTATATTTTATGTTATTGAAAATATATTTAAATTAAATATTACTATTTTGTGCACTTTCCTTTTTTTATTAAACTATATTTTATATACTTATATTTTCGTTTTTAAATAGTTTTGTAAATTTTATAAATGTTTCCTTTTTATTTTATATTGTTATTTGGAAATTTTTTTAAAAAAAAGAATATCTAAACTATTAAAACTGAAGTACAAATAGGAAATACCCCTTTGTTTTCCTCAAAAATTACAACTTCATGCCACTGCTATTAAACACAGCCGTTTTTGCTCTTCTAACTAAACTCCTACGTTTGTGTTATTTCTGAACCATCAAGTTATAAAATTATAAAACCATACTAAACCATAACATGACAAAATCATCATTACAAAACCGGCGCAATTACAATCGCTACTTTCCTCTTGGTTTTATATAATTCTACACCATTAATAAAACATCGACTGAAATACTTAAGATATTCATCATTTCTCTTGGTCAACAGCATCACAAGAGTCAACAGATACATTCATACATACCTTTTCATAACTTTACTTAACCATTGAATTCTATTGTGATAATTACCTCGATAATCCTGGTCTACAGAATGAAAACCAGTATAGTAGATATATACAAAATATTAATATCTAGATCATAATATATCATTATTATTAATATATTATACATTATGTAATTCAAAATCAAAACTAACTTAAGCAATACGATATTATCATTAGGAATTACATAATTCGAAATCAAAACTGATAATTAAATACTCTCCTCAAAAATTAATGAAATATCCTAGATCGTGATATGCAAGAATTTTCCTTATTTATATTCCCTATGATCTCGCCTATATCTAACCTAATTAATTATCATATTAACTGTAATTCTGTAAACTCTATTTAATTTCAAAAATTACTAGCATATATAATTAATTATGATAATAACTCTTTCCTAATGGACATCGACGACAACTTTAATATGGGCCATATTTTAGGTAAATTGGGTAAGTGATTTAAAAATTATATTTTAAAGCTCAATTTTGTAAATCATAGACCTTTACACTTTTTATATAAAACAAAGAAAAAATACTATATTTGTGTAGCATTTTATAGTTGTTATTTTCTGTGGTAAAAATAAAAACCCCAAACTGAATTATATTATATATTAAAAACAATATTTTGTAAATACAGTCTTATAGTTTTTGTTTAGTTACATATATTTAGTTTGAGGATACAATATTCAAAAAAAAAAATATAATTAATAATAATTATATTAAAATGAAAATTTTCAAAATGTTGTAGAATTTTGAAAGAAATTAAAAAACAAGTTGTCAATATATGATTAGCACAATATCATAGAAAGCAAACTACACAAAGTTTTAAAAATTTTGTAACAAACCGTACAAATTATAAAATTTCAAAATAATTTTATGTACAAATATGAAGCATACTTTTTGGATTTCTACAGAAATATAAAGAAATAATTTTCTTTGGATTTATTAAGAATTTTTTAATTTCTCACTCCACCTCTATCTTCAAAAATATAAAGAACAAAAATATTTTTTTTGGATATAGTGTTTTTAGGATTTTAAATGTAAATATTCAAATATTATATTTTTTTGGAGAGAGTTTGAATCAGATCATTCTCGACCCGGATAGGTGTGTAGGAACCTATATATATCCAAATAAACAAGGTATTCAAAATTGTTATTAAATAATAATTTAAAACAAAATCATAACCCGCGCGGGCGCGCGGGTGAAAATCTAGTTTAATTGTATTTTTAATTAATTAGGGGTATTATAGTAATCAACCAGCGTGAGAATTAACGTGAGCACGACACCTACGAAAGTGACTTCTAAAATAATATTATAGAGATATGTGTGAAAATCTAAAACATATATTTAAGTTTAAAGATACTTATAGGTGGACCAAATAAACTCAGGAAATAAAATCCTATTGTTTGCAAAGAGATCGTGCTATTTTTTTTTTTTTTGGGTCAAAACATAGAGATCGTGCTATTTAGGAAATAGAGATCGTGCTATTTAAGCGTGAAGTCTATACTCCAAACCTTTTGGAGCCTTTGATATAGCGGGGGCGACGAAAGGAGAGACGTGAGAGGAGAGGAAAACTACATGAACATGCCACGTGTTAAAACATATAGCCACGTGGAGTGGCGTTCTCTATTTTGAACGGTGACTGAACTTCAAAGAGACGCGACGGCTCGCCTCTTTCCAAGGCGTTAGCACCACATGTCTCACTGTGATTTCTTATGGTAAATATCTTCCTTTTCCCCTTTTTTATATCCCGTGATTTTTTATTACATGGTTAAGGAAAGCGCACCGCCATTATCCATTGGCCTTCGACTTTTGAACAATGGATATAAATAAATTATTAATAAGAAAAAGGGAAAAATAAAGCCATTTTATTTTACTACTATAATGTTTTGACGTATGAAACAAAAGAAAAGAAAACAAAAGAAAAAAAAATTGCGGAATTGCGGTGGTTAGTATATCTACGTGCGTCTGTGTTATATCTGATCTGATCAGCAATTAAATTCTACACGATTCAGGCATGACCGTTCGCTTTATTATTATTTTTTAAAATTGGATTGGGATATGAAGAAGGTGTTGTTGAACTTTAAAGACTCCATAACTGACTTTTATCATCATCAACAACCACCCATGCTCAACCTTGCAATAAAAGAAGACCTAATCTTCTCACTTATTATGTCATCTCCATCATACCTACTACTTGATAGAATCAGATATATGCAGCACAATCATACACAAGCTCTTTCTCTCTCTGTTTTGTTACACTTGTGTCATTGGCTTTGACGTCATACGACTTGAATTCTTATCCAATTCGAATCTCTTACCATAAATTCTCATTTTCTCATTCCTCCAAGAATCTTGATTTTGCCACTTCTTTTTATACTCTTGCTCTGTTTTTCTCTTATTTCTGTGAACGTGAGAAAAAAAATGGTAGTGCTGTAAGCTCGATTTCGCTCAGACAAGTGTCGCCTTTCTTGAGTTCTGTAATACTTTTATGGATTTATCTTTGGGCAAAAAAGGTTTCAGTTTTGCGCTAAGGAACAAGAAGTGGATATTACTTGCACTCAGTGGTTACGGCGCCTTTAGGGTTTACCACTCTCCTTCCATCTCCCAGAAACGCAAACGAATCTCTAAACTCTTCACTCTCCTCTTCAACCTCATCGAAGCATCCTCTGCTTCCGCCGAAGCGGTTAGCGTGATCACCAAGGATCTAACAGAGTTTCTAAAATCAGACTCCGACCATATCCCAAACAGCTTCAGACAGATCTCCAAACTCGCGAACTCTCATGAGCTAAACTCCTCCTTGATCAGATTCACACAAGCTATCACCGTTGGGTTACTCAGAGGCTACCGGTTAGATGAAACCGGTTCCGGTTTTACGGATCACGTTATGGATAAGCTTTTCACGAAAACCGGGTCCGGTTTCGCTTCGGTTATCGTCAGTAGCTTCGCTAAAAACTTGGTCGTTGCTCTCTACTCCGCATCATCATCCTCCGGCGAATCGAAATTGCTCGACGCGGTTTGCTCAGACGACGGGAGGAAGCTAATCGGCGACTGCGTTCAGCGTTTCGTGAGCAGTGCGGTTTCGGTTTATCTCGATAAGACAAACGACGCTAACGTTTTCGACGATTTATTTTCCGGTTTAACTAATCCGAAACACGAGGACAAGGTTAAGCAGACGCTAGTAACGGTATGTAACGGTGCTGTTGAAACGTTTGTGAGAGCGTCGAGAAGAAAAACAACTGAACCGGAATCGAACCGGACGTGGTTGGATGGGGTATCGTCTTCGTTGTCTGTACCGAGTAACCGGAAATACGTGGTGGATTTAACCGGGAAGGTGACGTTTGAGACGGTTAGGTCGTTGTTAGAAGTGTTGATCGAGAGAGCGAATGGGAAAGTGGAGAGTTACGTGGAGAGAGTTAGAGAGAAGGGAAATGAGACGAGGAGATTTGTGAGAGTTAAATCATCACTTCTTCGTAGTTTATGTTTGTCTCTGTGTTTACAGATTGTTGAAGCTCCATGGATACTGACTCCAAGAAACTGATCAGGCTACAAGACAACTTTTTCTTTTTTTATGTTACACTAAACTTTTGTGTTTTGTTTAATTCTTAGATTCATAGAAATTTCCATGTAAAATTGCCTTTTTCTACAATTGGAAAATGATTGTTTTTGACTTGGGAAAAAAGAAAGGGGTTTCATTTGAATGTTTTGGATTCGGATATTTGGATAATGATCAAAGATGTGGGACATTGTTTTCTGGCTAAATACGGTATGGATATAGTGTGGTTGGTGACGTGTTTGAGACAAAACCCATATATGTTCTTTTGTGAGAAAAAGTCAAATTTGTTATCCAGAGAAAACAATAACAAATTTGATAACTCGCTCTGATCAATCTAACTTTAGTTCGGGTTGCAACATCTAGTGAGTAAAGCCAACGTAACAAATACAAATAATAAAGGTGTGCTATAGGCCAAGAGGCTAGCTTTAAAGTTTGATTTGAGCTTTCTGGTCTTTGTTTTGTCTTCATTGAAGCAATTCATTATTCTCCTTTTGGATTACCAGGTGACGATCGTCTTTGCTAAATTTTTGTAAGATTTCATTACAATGCCATTCAAATTTTCTTGTAATATCAGCAGTACATGATTTGTTATACGTGGGACAACTTGAAGCTAATTCCATATAACATTTGAGTTTTATATAAATTATATGGGTTTGTTTTCCCTCATTCAACAAGCTCCATAATCAGCAATATTTCTTACTACATGTGCCAAAACAAAACAAAATATCCATTTCAACAATCAACAATCAACACCACTTTTTCATTTAAGCAGTTTAAAGAAATGGATTATTACCCCAACCCGGCTTAGAAAATTAAACCAAGTGCCATAATTTGTTTATCAAACCAGTTTCTAAAATTAAAATGCCAAAAATTTATTGAGAACTTTGAGTTTTGAGCTTTCACTATTTTACTTATATACAAGCTATTATATATTACCTCATTCTTTAAAAAAAAAATAGAGTTAAAGAAAAAACTCAAAACAACAAAATTTAATATTTACGGATAAATTTTCATCTCATCATTCACACATAAAATAAGCTACATAGTCAAAATATTTCTTTCCATCGGTCCATCATGAGCAAAATCCATAATCTCCTAGAGATTACCATCCCTAAAGGCATTGTCTTCCTAGGTGCTTAATACTAAGTAATCCAAGCCATCTCACATTACCGGCAAGCGGAAACATCAACACATAGTAACAACCAGCAAAAAGATCACAAACACACATATTGTGATGCATCACTATATCAGGGTAGCCAATCACGTCTCCAAAACTTTAGATTCGAGTTTGTCTAGTGAGAGTCCCAACTTGCACGACTCCCGTGATAGCGTTTTTTTTCCTTCCCATCTCCAAATATTGCATTACTTTCCTGATGCATGACTCTGTACATCATTGCCACACAATTCGCTTTTTCTATCCCATATTCTGTAACTTCAAGATTATAATATATATGCTACAAAATATGTCAGTTACATGATTTTCCCAAAATAAGTAGATATTTAAGATGTGTTTTTGTTCATGAAAATCTTTTGATGTAAGATTTTTTTTCTTTGTTTTTGACGCGGACAATGATAAATTCTGGTTTTACTCCATACTGATGTTCCAGTTCTAAATTTTGTTCATAAAGCTTTTCCTTCAACAGAAAGGAAGTGGACTAATCCATTCATTATTATGGAGCTGGCATATCTCTCAACTAGTAACAATATGGTTTTTCATTCCATGATCAATTTCCGTGCTCCACTCACATCATCTAATAAAAGATAGGAACTCGAATTATAGTCTTCATTATTACGGTGTATTTGAGGGCCTTAGCCCAATTGACATATCATACTCTATTGGCCCAGTCAGAACTTCTGATAGAGAGGTTGTTATCAAAGTCAACTATTTATTCCCAGTCAACTCGTCTAACTTTAAGACAAAATACAGCTGGTTTACAACCAAACTCGAAATGGAATAAACTCGTTGTTGTGACTTTATTTTTTTATGATAAACCTTACAAAATTAAATACTGAAAATTGTTTTAAATCCATAATTATACAAGGAGTGTGAATAATATAATAACTCTCAACGAAGTAATAACAAAGATTAAACTTGCTATAACAAAATTAAAAAGAAAGTACAGTGATAGGGTTTACTAATGTAATTAGTTAATATACTTTATGGCATAAAATATGATTTAGTGTTTGTGATTTTGAGTGTAAATGTAATCAGTGTGAGCAACAAGAGTTCGCCTAATCAAACATTCTTCTTCTCCAATTCCTTTGCAGCTTTCTTCTTCAGTATTATCTCCTTCAGTTACCTAAATATAACAAAGAAAATACGGACGCCAGTGTTAATTTCTAAACTCCTCCCGGTATATAACAAAAATAATTTTTTTTTGATAAATATCAAAATTAATTATATATTCAAATCGGGAATGATATCTTACAAGGACCATGCATGCAAAACAGTTCGGGGCTCTTTTTGAACGTACTCTAGATAAGCTTAGAAGAAAGCTTATAAAGACTAATTTATATAGGTATATATGCAGCTGTAATTGATCTTGTACACTTTCCTTGATACTTTCTTTTGCGTGAAACATAGTACATATATATGTAGGTTCCATATGTTAGTTTGAATTTTCGTAAGAAAACAATTTTTGACTTCTGAAACATGATATAGGACCCTTTAATACAAGTTCCAACGTAATTTATCTCTATTGGAGCATCAATATTGTTTTTTTAGAATCAATATTGTAATATGTATTGAGTTGCAATATTCTAGAAAAAGAAGCTAGTTAACGAACCTTAACGGAGTCTTCTCTAGAAGAGGCGGTGGTTGTCGTCGGAGTCAACCTGGCTGCGTAGGTTAGCGTTGAGCAGAGAAGGAGAGCAATGATGAAAATGGTTGTGAACTTAGCCATATTGATTGCAAAGAGGAGAGATATGGAGAATTGTTGATAGATGTTGAGGATCGGATGAAGAGAAGATGAAGTCAAGAAGGTGAATTTATAGAGAAACACGGGTTGACAAACAGTGAGATGCTGCCGAATGTGAACCATAGAACTTGTAAAGGGAAAGACTAACTACTTTCATGACGTCATAAAACTTCGTACATATCTCTGATATTAATAGAATTTTTGTTTATTTGTGTTAGTGTTAATTAGATAAGAAGGTGCTCTTTATTCACGTTCATGCCGTGTTTATTTGATGGACCTACTGAATTATTTGATGTTTGTGTGTGTGAATGATTGCTCAAAAAGGCAACGTATCATGTGAGCAGGCAAAAAGGTAACCGGTGCATAAGATCAAAGATACATATATATATATATATATATTTGCTTTAATTTAAGAACACTATATGCACTTATAAAAATGTTATTGCAATCAAACTTTCACTTGTTTTGTTTTTGGGAAAATTCCATATAAATACCCCAACTAAATTTTATTAAGCTTTTTAATACCCAAACTTTTTCATTACCCAATTTAATACCTCAACTAATAATTTTTCCCACTTTAATATACAAACCTTTATAATTGTGCCCATTTTAATACCCAAACTTTGTTTATTTTAATTAACAATACTAATAAGTTTCAAACAAAAAGTTTAAAAATCTCCAAAATCTAAGAAAAAATATTTAAAATTTCTAAGTTTACTCTAAGATTTAAGAAATAAGGTAAATAAACTCTGGAGAAAATTTAAATGTCTTAAAAAAATAATTTTGAAGGAAAAAAAAATAATTTACTTTTTTATTTCAGAAAACAAACTAAATTCAATATATAAAACTTAAAAAACTTTTTACAAAACTTAAGATTATAAAAAATTTATTTAATTTCATTTCCATAACATATAATAAAATCAATTTTTTTTGTAAATTTTAGAAATTTTAAAAATTTTATTGGAAATTTATTCGTATTGTTAGTTAAAATAAATAAAATTTGGGTATTAAAATGGACACATTTATAAAAGTTTGTGCATTAAAATGGGTAAAATAATTAGTTAGGGTATTAAACTGGATAGCGAAAAAGTTTGGGTATTAAAAAACTTAATAAAATTTAGTTGGGGTATTTATATGGAATTTTCCCTTTGTTTTTTAAGAAGTTTCATATGTTTTGTGCGTCATGTTTGGCATGCAATATTTCTAGATTACAGCCGACCTAAGATGAATAATATATACGATCTGTTGATCATAGAGACAATTCATATATCTAATTAAATACAAATGTGTGTATTATAAAAGAAAATAATCCTCCGAAGGTTGAGTTAAGTTGGTGGTGGATAGATATAACATATATGAATGGTAATATTCACCTAATGATTCTCACGTGCAGTTGAACGGAAAGTAGACTTGTGAGAAATTATTTCGTGTAACGATAATATTTGACCAACACATTTTAACTAAACCAAAACGCTTTTATCATAAATAGTTGACATAGTAGTTTTGGAAGTATTCTAGAATGCCGTAGAAGGGTACCTCATCTCATGTCATTGTTGAATCGGGGTTTTGTTTGTTTTGATTACCTAAAGTAGATGAGACTAATATCAAAAATGGCATAACATATCGTCATCATTTATTTAAAAATTTACAATGATAATACTGTATATAGATTTCATGATTATTACAGCAAGAGAGAGGTTAACGCGCATGGCATAATAAGGGCATATTAACAAAATTCTAGTCAATAGAATAGGGGAAAGAGCTTAGCAAAGTCTTCTTACTTTTTTCAAACGTAAACTGAATATTCAATTCCGTTCACATTTGTGAATTACATCACACGTACGTATTGTAATGGAAGCTTGTTACTTGACGATTTCGATATGGTTCTTGTTATAACATATTCACATCTCATAAGCTTGTTATAACATATTCACATCTCATAAGCTTGTTATAACATATTCACATCTCATAAGCTTGTTATAACATATTCACATCTCATAAGCTTGTTATAACATAGGCTGCTTGCCTGCTTCGAACGAGAAAGTATTGCATAAATTTTGGACCGCTCAATAGGTGAAACAGTTTGTTTTATCTATGGTTGTGATCTATATGTATTGGTTAGTGTGCAGACACAATATTTTTGGTTAATGTGCAGACACTGTCCTTTGTCGACAATCAACATACAGTTTATGTAAATTCAAAATTATTTGTAAAGAACAAATATAAATTATTACTAGTATATTCTTTCATTAGGTCTTGTGAAACTCAAACAAACTTTTTTCATACTATTTAAACCGATCATGTCGTGTACGTAAATTTACAAAATAATTATATAAATTGATCAGTTTCAGTCTACAAGATATGATTATGCAAGTTCTTAAAACGTTAAGTCTTCATTCGATTGTCTTATGAAAGTATAATCTATAAAAGAAGCCAATTTATAGGTCTACGAAACAATTCTTTTTGTGACTTTTACTATGTTTTCAAATACAAAAGATTCTCTTCATACCAAAGTTGCAGCACAACTTACAATATTATATTTCTTAAGTTTTTGTTTTTGTTTTGTGCACATATTTATTAAATATATAACTATATTTTGATTCACAGGTATTCGAAATTAGTTTTTACATTTTTGTAAATTGTTTAATAGTAATTTTATACATATATATATATATATATAGTTTATTAAGATATTCTAGATTTGTACAAATTTATCTGGATCCGGAAAAATCCGATTCAAATCCCATTCAAGAATTTATAGTATCCAAAGTAACTTTAAAATCTAAAACACGATACTTGAAAAATCGATATATATCTGAATATGTATCTGAATGCCCTTGTTTAACTAATTATGGAAACAAAAAATATGTTTTTGTTAACCGTTTTGAATTCTTGTACTAATGAAACATTTTTATTTAAACATGTGTAATTATTATATTTAAAACATAAATAAATTAAGATGAATTATTATGGTAAATATAATTATTGAAGTAGTTTGAAAGAGTGAGAAATATAAAAAATATAAAAAACACATAAAATTGAGTAAATATGTTTTATACTTTTATAATAAAGACTATCAAGTTATATGGAAAGAAGCAATTAATAAAGTGGTTAAGATGAACGAAAATAAGAAAATAAAATATGTAATAATTCTGTTGAAAATGGAATTAGTTATAAAAACTTTAAATCGATTTCGAGAATTCATAAAAAATAATATGATGGTATAGCTTCAACAACACATGGTTAACTCAATCCAAACTAGAATAAAGTTGATTTGAAGTTGCAAACCAGCCGTTTTTGTACTTCACTTTTAATAATATAAATATCTTTGAAATGTAGAATATCACATGTATACGCATATATAATTTTCCTATAACTTGGTGGTTGGTACAGTAAAAGTAAAATTTACATTACTAGATGATTATCCGCGCGTATGCTTGATATGTTGTGTGTTTTGACTCATTCTAACAATGTTATCTAAAGTGTTTTTGAGTCTTTATAAAGTGTTTTTAGTCTTTTTTGAGTCATGACATGTATGAAGTTGCATTGGATAGGAGATGGACCAGTTGGAGTAAAAAAGGTAGAAAAGAGTACAAATTGGAGATTTCCGTGCGGAGCAGCCCAAGTGCATGTTCCTGCGGCAGAGATTTTTATGGAAACATCTAATATTTTGGGATTACCCTAATCATCCCAATTGTATCTTCATGTCGCCAGTAGACTCCACATATATTCTCATCCTCTTTTCTATTATTATTCCACGCTATTTTCTACAGAAAAAGAACTCTAGAAATTTTACATTTTTGTGATTTTGCTACTTTATAAAGGGAGAAGACTTTCTCTCTCGATTTAGAGAAGAATCATCGGAACCCTATCTTATTTATCTATTGATTCAGTATGTTTTCTTCATATATTATCTCTGTGTTTTCTCTGTTTATGGATGAGTAATCCGCTTACTTAGTCTAGGGTATTAGGATGTTAGATCCGTGAGCTAGACATAAATAGGTTAATACTTTGATTGTTTTCATTCTTCGCACCACTTAATGCTTATTCTAAACTAATCACTTAGTGTTTGATCTTAGGATGAATTTGTTCACTAACCGTGTAATAAGTTGCTAGAAATTGCATGAATAAGCTATGTATCCCTAATCAACAAGAATAGATATTAGAGTGTTTTGTGAACCTATCAAACTTAATCTTAATGTTTGTCATCGTGTCTCAGTCCAAACGAGAGTTTAGATGCTGAGAACGATTGATAAAAGGTGAAGCACCACAGCAGTGGGCTAATCTATCTTGAGTGATTCGAGTTCTAGACTAGGACTTCATAAAACCTGAATAATTGTTTAGCTCAGAAGTGTTAAAATCCGATCAAACCACACTAGGCTAGCATTCTCTTTTATAATATGAAACCAAATCATCTCTGTTACTTGCTCGTTACAATTTTTTATTTTAAAACCCTCATATTGTTTTAGCTTAATATTGATCCCATAAAAATAAAGTGTAATAGTTGGTCTCTGTGGATTTGATCCTAAAGTGTTACGTCGACATACATTCGATTGTGCTAGTATGCACATTATGTTAATTGGTGTGCGTATACACGTAATATCAATGCGTCAGTGTGAAATTTGTATATTAATAACCGTTGAATACTAACTTTGATCGTTTAATTATCATATCATAAATTAAAACATAAAGTTATAGATCGTTAATATAGTTAATATAAAGTTGATAAGTAGGATCATGTTTATTGATATTTTTTTTAACCTATTTAATTTACATTGAACTTTAATGATATCATCCAGATGTTATAATTCTTTGTCTTAATTTGTTATGAAGTATTGTATTTTAAATTATATGAATAGTTATTAATTGATTTTTCTTACTCAGTGTAAATTTTAAAATGAACATGTTTATGTATTTTATATATGATACATACTTTAACTTGAACAATATTATAATAAATAAAATATATATGTATATATATACATATATATATATACATATATATATATATATATATATATTAATGAAATTTCATATTTATATAATTTTATGATCATTTATATCTTGTTATAACAATAAATAAAATCAGTGATCACAAAAATTTCAAAGTGGATTTTAATAGTCTTGGTATTTATAATCGTTTAAGAAAATTAAAAATATAGCATATAAG